CTGTAAATGGTGACAAAAAACTAAAAGCCTAACAGTTTCACTGAACTGCTTTAAGTTCAGGATTTCATGTTTTCATCACTAGAAAATTCTCCCCTCCTAGTCATTTTGGTGAAATTCCACTTACTTTCTGAAGTCTCAGAGAAAAATAAGACACATTTCTCCCCGCCCCCCCCATTAACTGTTAGTTAAACATTAGTGCTATCATTTTATCTACAAATGTACCTTTGAGCCATCATATAACCAGACTTATTTAAAAATAGGACACCATGATATCAATGCCTTGCAAATATGCGTAAAGCATACACCTTAGCCTTTTTATGTTTTGTTTTGTTTTGAAATCATATTGTACAGTTACAGGCTCAGAAACCCACAGGAGGGTCAATATGAGTCGGAATTGACTCAACGACAGTGTTTTATTTGGGTTCTCACTTAATTAATTCAATTCCCTTCTTTGCTGTTGTTCTTATTTTTCCTGCCAATTGCCTCTAGGTGTTTGCAAGAAGTGTTCAGTTATTAGAATATCCAGGAGCAGACAATGTTTTCTAGTAATACATAATCTTCTGATGTTTGTCAATTGATCATCTGTTAGCACGGATTTGCAAGTCACTAATATATAAATTCCTTCAGTCAAAGAGACGCTTGAGTGATAACTCCCTAAATAATTCTAATGCTGCTTCTGCTAGATTATGTGGGTTCACATGCACACTCGCTTACTGGCCCAGTTTATCACACTTAACCATGTTAGCTTTCCAAACTGTTGAACGCTTAGCCTATTAAAGGAATAGAAAAGGGAATTTCGTTTTTAACAACAGAATTTATTTAACAATGACTTCATTCCTTCAGCTTTTTCTTTACTGTCAAGGACTTTGAAATGTTTGTGATTTTATCCTGCTTGCACTCTACCATGTTACCGTGGCACAGTTTCATAAGTGCTGACAAAAGACATAAGATTCCTAGGTCAGAGAGAAAACACTGTGCACAGAACTTCACTTTGTTTACTTAAGTTCCTCTGCTTCTCGAGAGTCACAGAGACAATATAGAACAGTGCAGGTAGACGTTGTACAGATAGTGAGTTGTGGTTACTGCTGTGGAACCTAGGTTTGAGGGGCTTCTTGCAAATGTGTGCAAACTTTGTTCTCAAGGGAGACAATGTATGAATCATTGTGATTATCAAACAATTTTTCTCTCTGCCCTAGAGGAAGATAGTATTTCTAGAACAACAGAGGGTATACAAACACATGAAAAGACAGTTTTGAACAAAAGCTCTCAATATGTCTTCACAACACACATAGAAACACCAAAGAGTATTGTTTCTAAATACCTGCCTTATAGCCTAAGCTTCATAAAATTTGAGGTTTAAACTTCATTTACACTTCAGTAAGACTATTGCCCCCTGCCTTTGCCTCAATCCATACAATTATATTATAGTAAGAACAAGGAGAATAAATATTCTTGTCAGGATCAGCAAGAGACCTGGATGACCTATGAGGTCTGAATAATCTATCCTGAATTATCTCATCTGACCCATTCTACTGGTCATGCCAAGGGCACTTGAAATTTGGATGACCTATCTCAAACTGCCTGACCTTATCCATTCCAGTGGTCATGTCCAGATAACCTAATGACTAACACTATCACATATGATAATAGATGACCATCCCATATGGTAATCAGATACATGAGGCACGGATTAGGAGACCAACCATTATGCTGGAAAAAAGCCCAATTGGGATGCAACAATAAGAGAGAATTGGAAAGCAGTGTAGGGTATGAGGTGAGCCAATGGTGTGGGTACTGCTACCTGACCCCTATAAAATCCAGTGCCTGGCCGCTATATATTCCAAGGTCATACCCCTAGGAGTCTTCAGCTTCCTCAAATCATGAGGTAACCTGCTTCATGATTTCAATGTAACTTGCCAATTAAAGCTTTGCTCCACTTCTTGTCTTTTCATACTGTCTTGTCTTAATCTCCTATGTGGGTGTGTCTCACTATTGTGGTGGCAAACCACTCAGGAGAATATTGCTAGTACTTTTCTCCAAGAAAAAAAGCCCGATAACATCAGTTTTGACACATAAAAATCCCTCATGAAATCTTTAAAAAAAATTTTAATTCATTTTATTGGGGGCTCATACAATTCTTATCACAATCCTTAGATACATCCATTGTGTCAAGCACATTTGTACATTTGTTGCCATCATCCTCCTCAAAACATTTGTCTTCTACTTGAGCCCTTAATATGGGCTTCTCATTTTCCCCTCCCTCCCCACTCCCTCCCACCCTAATGAACCCTTCATAATTCATAAATTATTATTTTGTCATATGTTACACTGTCCAATATCTGCCCTTGCCCACTTCTCTGTAGTCCATACCCCAGGGAGGAGGTTATATGTAGATTCTTATAATCAGTTCTCCCTTTCCACCCCAAATTCCATCCACTCTCCAGGCATTGCCACTCTCACCACTGGTCCTGAAGGGGTCATCTGTCCTGGATTCCCTGTGTTTCTAGTTGCTATCTGTACCAATGTACATCCCCTGTTCTAGCCAGATTTGTAAGGTAGAAGTGGGATCATGATAGTGGGGGGAAGCATTTAAGAACTAGAGGAAAGTTATATGTTTCATTGTTGCTACCCCGCATCCTGAATGACTCATCCCCTCACCACAACCCTTCAATAAGGGGTGTCCAGTTACCTACCGATGGGCTTTGAGTCTCCACTCTGCACTCCCCCTCACTTACAATGATGTGATTTTTTTGTTCTTTGAAGCTAGATAATCGATCCCTTCGACAGCTCGTGGTCACACAGGCTGGTGTGCTTCTTCCATGTGGGCTTTGTTGAATCTGAGTTAGATGGCCGCTTGTTTATCTTCAATCCTTTTAAGACCCCAGAAGCTCTATCTTTTGATAGCTGGGCACCATCAGCTTTCTTCACCACATTTGCTTATGCACACTTTTGTCTTCAGTGATCATATTGGGAAGGTGGGCACCCACTGATAATGATTTTTTGTTCTTTGATGCCTGGTGACTGATCCCTTCTACACCTCGTGATCACACAGGCTGGTGTGCTTCTTCCATGTGGACTTTAATGCTTCTCAGCTAGATGGCCACTGCATATCTACTTTTACTTTAGGTGAGAAAAAAGATCCCAAATTCCCAAATATATTTTATGGACACACATTTAACAGGATAAAAACAAAGACACATTATCCAGACAAGGGATCAGCAAAAGGCCATAATGGTACTCCAGTATTTACAGAAACTTAAATAGGACATAAAGTACAAGGCAAATTGTCGGGGGTGGGGGTGTGTGTGTGAATTGAAGCAGATCAATAGATCACAGTTACAGAAGGGACTACAGGAGAGGGATGGGACTGTGATGGGATATGCTCATATTGCACATAGGAAAACTTACAAGATTCGTGGAGGGCTCTCTAACCAAAACAGACAGTCAGGGTTTGATTCATGGCCATGCAGACTCTCTTGTTATTAGGTGCTACCAAGGAAGTTGGTTACAACTCATCACAACCCTATGCACAACAGAATGAAACTGTCTGGTCCTACACAATCCTCACAATTGTTCTTATAGTTAAGTCAACTGCTGCAGCCACTGTATCAATCCATCTTCTTATCTAGAAACTTCTTTTTCACTGCCTTCACTTTACCAAGCACAATGTATGTCTCCAGGAACTCGTCCTTTCTGATAATATGCACAAAGTACATGCAGACCTTAGTATCTGAAATTCCATTAGGGGCACACATAGGCATTTCCATAAAAGATAGTCTGCCACTCCCTGCCACTCCCTAGGGAAGCAGTAGCAGTACACTTGCAATATACAATACACGTCAACATACAATACACATCAACATACAATACACATCAATATACAATACACATCAACATACGATATGTTGATGTCATCATAACTGTAAGGTTATGTATGTGCCCAAACTTCAAAGATGATAAAATATCAAATTTAGAAAGATGCTGATAATAAAATCATTATAGTTTTAAATGAAGTTTTCATACTTATATCACAGCTAACCTGCAATGGAGTCCTAATTGCAAATCAGAAAATACCAGTATAAATTCAGTTTGTGTCCTATCATCTCCAAACTTTACTACAAGAAAAAATCCAAAAGAACCAAGGAGCCTCCATATGTCTATTGATTATTTTTATGTAAAAGTGAATAGTACTAAAAACTAGTTTTTGCAATAAAATGCAAATTAATATGAAGTATTACATGAAAAATTACTTTTGATGTAATTTTAGAACATTTCCTGCTATATTTTTCATATTTGTTACCTAAATAAATAAGAATATTACCATATATTTGAGTTTGTTTGACTCATTCAAAAACTCAGTATTTCTCAGGTTAAGTATGCCGAAAAATAATCATAATAGAAACATTCAATTGACTAATGACCAAAAATTACATGAGACAAATGGAACACTTTGTTATATGATAATCTTTTGAAATAAGATATTTGAAGATGGTCTTAAATTCTAACCAAATATTGAGAACATTAAAACGATAAGTCAAAAGTTTTATATAGTAGTAAACATACAACTGTGAATGTCTTACGATGCTTTTATTGAATTTAGGAAGAACCTTTAAGATGTTGGATTTAGTAGAATTTGAAGAAACGGAAAGTGTCTTGCCCTAAAAAGTGTATTTGCTATCATGGTCAGAATTCTGTGTATTTGAAATTAGCTATGATAAAAGTATTCCTAAATAAATAAATAGTTGTTTTTAAAAGGGCAAGTGTTTTCTTGATTTAAAGATTGAAATATCAAAGGTCTGACATTTTGACGAACTATTTGTAGCAGCATGGTATGTATTATTTTTCACTTCTCAAAGTTATTTTTAATTACTATGTTAGTTTGTGTCCTTTTCTACATTTCCAATTAATTTTACTAAATTTTTTGTTCATGGATTTGTCTCACTTGACCACATTATTAATTCTTGAAATTAAATTTTAAAATGAATTTACCCTAGTTTAACTTAATTCCAGGGAATGCTGCAAGAATGCTCTCTAAATGCAATCAAATTGGTGAAGCTATCCCCACATATAGGGCACAGGTATTTCCAACAACTGTTGATAGCAATGATTACAATTGGCATATAATGAGATCTCAATTTTTGCGTCTCAAAAGTTTGCCTACTAATTGTGATTTGAAATAGGGCTCGTGGAATACAGAACATTGGTCTAACAAAAATGTGGAATCTATCCTTTCTTTTTGTATCACCAAGTTTGTAAAAAATTCTTGGTGTTAGTCTCTCAGTGAGGGACTGGTGATAATACATCCTCAAAGGTCTTCTGGGTACTAGGGCTCTCTCAAAATTGGTGAGGGCATTTGGGCCAGGAAAAACTTTTACATATTTATTTTTCATCCACATTGTATTTTGATGATGTTCACTTTGCGGGAGATGCTTTCCACACAACAGATTAAGAATCATTCTTTTTAAATCCTGATTGCTGATGAATGGGATTTTCCATGTAATTGGCCATTGAGGAAGTCTGTGATTTATGTTGGAATAACAGAACCTTTTTTTTATCTCAACTTTCCCTGACGATATTCTTAATTTACCACTTAAGGAATGGTTGTTATCATTCTCTACTACAGGTATACCCAGGAAGGCAAGCTTTCCTAATCCTGACCTGAGGAAGATCCATTTTCCAGGAACAGGGATCTGAATTAGAAGACACTGTTTTTTTGAATCTTCGTTCTGATGATCATTCTGGGATTTCTTGGCATCAAGCTCACTGCACTCTACTGCTTTTGGGTTATCATTCTCTTGGCACACATGAGTATTTCCTTCTCTTTCAATTTGGTTATTTCCCATTTGATAGGCCCTGTTAGGATCAGCAGCTTCAGGTTCTATGTCTGTGTTATAGTCATTTGGAGTGGCTTCGGAATCTTTGATAGCATTGCCAGCTGGGTCCCTGCCTTCTTCTGTCTGAGATGTCATTCTAGGATCTATTTGTGAGAAAGAACAACTATTACATTGAAAAAGTGTGCTATTTCATAAGATTTTAGTAATAATCACATTCCCTTATTACTGAAAAATAACAGTCAATCTCTGTGTTTTCTCACACATAGGTTTTATTAGATTTCTAGATTTACAAAATTAAATATGTTAAAAGCAAATCTAAGTGCAAATGTGAGATTGTTTAAACTAAATATAGGTTTTATTGCATAGTTCAAGAACTTGTATAACTTTAACATGACTTCACATCTAAACATTTTGGGAATTAATTTGTAGAGCGAAACACATGGCCTTCTAGGTATAAAACTCAATTATTTCCTTTTGTATGGTGAGCATAATAGAACTTTCATTAAATACTGTATATCAGAATCATTTACCTGATATTTAAAAATAACACTAAATTAGAGCACAGTTTTTATGAGTATGTATACCCAAGAACCAAAACTTGCTTGTAAGTTGGTCTTACTTTGGCAGCTTGTATGTTGCTATGATGCTAGAAGCTATTTCAAGTACCAGGAGGAACACTCAAAGTGAACATGTTTCAGCAGATCTTCCAGACTACGACAAAAACTAAAAAGAAGAATGCCTCTGTCCAATTCAGAGGAATTAGCCACTGCTAGCCCTATGGATAGTATCGAAACATTGGCAGTTACTGATAACTTCATCGTCAGAAATAAAAAATTGTTAGGGACAGTGCTGGAAGATGAACCCCTCATACCAGAAAGCACTTAAAATATGACTGTGGAAGAGCTGTCTTCTCAAGGGACTATTTATCATAGTGATGCTGATGGAGTAAAGCCTGTGGGAGTCAAGCCTTGAGGACCTTTATTTGCTGACAGAGCAGGAGTCAAAATGATAAGTAACAACTGCAGTCATCCATTAATAATTGGAACTTGGAATGAACAGAGTATGAATTTAGGAAAGGTGGAAGCCATTAGAGATCAAATGGAATGCATAAATCAATATTCTAGGTCTTAGTGAGCTGGAATGGACTGGAATTGGCCGTTTAGAAACAGAAAATCACATGGTGTGCCATGCCGGGGATGACAAAACAAGAGGAATGGCATTGAATTTATAGTAACAAAAAGGGTATTTCAAGATCTGTCTTGAAGTGCGAAGCTGCTTGTGATAGGATAATGTCTATCCACGTACAAAGAAGTCCAATCAATACAATTATTATTCAGATATATGCACCAACCATGAAAACTAGTTATGCAGAAACTGAAGATTTCTACCAATGTCTTCAGGTCTGAAATTGATCAAACATGCTATCAAGATGCACTGAAAATTATTGGCAATTGAAATGCAAAAGTTGGAAACTAAGACAAAGGACTAGTATTAGATATTTGGAGGGTCTTTGATACAAGTAGTATGAGTAAAGTGCCTACGCCACTGTCCAGTGGCACAATGCAACGGTTTTCAACCTGTGGGTCATGACTCCTTTGGAGGTTGCTCACCCTTTCACAGGGGTCTCCTGATTCTTAACAATTGCAAAATTACAGTTATGAAGTAGCAACGAAAATTATTTTATAGTTGGGGGTCACCACAACATGAGGAACTGTATGAAAGGGTCGCAGCATTAGGAAGGTTGCGAACCACTGGTCTAGTGGGTTATGCATTGGTCTTCTAGCTACAAGGCCAGTAATTCAAAACCACTAACCACTCCTTATAGGGTGCTCTCATTTGGAATAGACTCTGTGGTAGTGAGCTTGAGTTCTGTTGTTGTTGTTTTGTTTTGTTTTTCTAATTATCCACAAACTATGTTGGCAATATGTCTTGGGGAACTGAAAATATTTTAGGTAATTTATTAAGTATTTGAAGATTTGATTTGAGTCCATATGCATTTGCATATAGTGGAGAAAAGACAAATGAAAGTAGATTGGAAAGAAATATGTAGATACTTGAGAAATAACCTGAAACGCTATATGTATTTTCATGACTAGCCTTCATAGTCAACCTCGGCATAGTTTGTGGATAACTCATCTAAGTTTAAAGATGGAGAGTGGCCTGAGCACTTTAGTCATGGTGCATCCTTTCAAACTGCTCTTAAAGTTGACTCCACCTCTCGTTCAACTTTCTTTATGCTACTCAAACAATAAGGTTTTTCTGTTTCTAAATGTGCATCCTAACTATAGTTTAGGTTTCAGTCATTTCCCAGGTTTTATTTTAATGCAAGTCTAAGTATTTTTATCTCAGACAATAAATGATTTACCACGGTCAGGGTTCCCAGATCTCATTCTGTGTCTCTTGTTTTTTATGGTAACAGAACTATCACTTCTTAGTACATTAGCTATTCTTCCTTCACTTCTGTTACCATGTGTTATTTAGGTGATGTGTGGTCCTTCTGTCTCTTTTATGTGGATTTCATTTATGCCCTTATTTGCTTTTTGCTGACTGTTCATAATATTTCAATGTAGACATTACTTAAAGCACAATCCTTGATTCTCTGTGTTATTGTTTTGTATATTCTTCTCTTAAAAGCCTTCCTATACTCCCACAACTTCACAGGCAAATTGGTAGAATCTACATTTTATTAACTAAATTTAGTCTGTTAAAGATTGGAAATTAGAAGAAGTGTGTACCAGATATCTCAGACTAGCAGAAGTAGAATCTAAGTGAAGTTAATAACAGAATCTATAGTTAGGGAATGTTAGCAACTAAACTGAATTCACATTGGAGAGCTATGTACTTGGATCATCATTAATCATTTAAAACAAATTCTCCTTCTAATTATATAAGAAAATAAGGAATATTCTAATAAACATAGCACTCTGTATACTTTAATGGCCAAATTAATATTTGAATATAGTAAAATGTCATAATATTCCTTTTAGTATGTTCTAGTAATTCAAAAGAGGAGCGCTGGAGGCATAGTGTCTTATGCATTTAACTTTTAGCCACAGATTTAGCAGTTTGAAACAACTAGCCACTCCCTGTGAGAAAGATGAGGATTTTTAATCCCATAAAATGTTACACTCAGAAACCCACAGGGGAAGTTCTACATTCTCCTATAAGGTTGGTCTGGATCAGATTTGACTTGATCCCTGTGAAGGCTGTTTTTTTTTTAACTTAGATAATTCAGATAAATATGCACGTTTGTATTAATTGAAATAATACGGTTTAAAATCTATTTTTTAATGTTCACTGTTTTTGATATTTGGTATTCTTTATTAAGTCTGTATTATAGAAAAAACAAAAGGATGGAGAACATTTTCAAATTTAGATAATATTTCTTAGATTTAGGATTTTAATTTCTTTAGTAAACTTCTAAAAAGTAATTTTTCAAATAACTTTCCTTTAGACATTTTAATGATATGTAATTTTATTAAATATTCTATTACTCTTTTTAGTATGTAATATTTTACCTAGAATGCACTCAATCCTCTTATTATGCATTTTACATTTGACTATGTAATACCTCAGGGAAAATAATTTCACTAACCTCTAAGTAAATGTACAAATATATATATTTTTCTTTCAAAATATTTTAAGAAAATACTATTTACTGGGGAATGTTTACAAATGCTGAGGAGCCCTGGTAGTGTAGTGATATTTTTACTCCCTTCACTCAGAGTTTAGACATGAATAATATACTTTTCTCCTTATGAGACATTTTTCAGAATCATATATGAACATCGTGACACTCTGACCCAGAGCAACAAGTGTCAAAGTAGGGTTTTCATCGAAAAATGTTAAATGAAAAGCAAAAGCTAATTTCAGAATCACTACAAAAGGATATACAGACTAATAATTACTCATTAACAACCCTTTTAAACCCTCATTATTTACCTCTTACTCTTCATCTCCATTCTCAGTATTCATCTCCATTTTCAGAGTACATCCTGCTGAAGATGTGCTCTGCTAGGTCCATCTTGATCTCCTCCTTTGTTTCTGCCATCTACCTCTCCATTTACAAGCCAAGGTTTTTTCTGACTGCATCACAATGTCCACTTAATCTGATAACCTAGCAACCAAACAGTACCCTCTGAAAAGGGAGGGAGGAAGAACCAACTGAAATGACAAAACTGGGGTCTTCATTAGATGTCAATGAAAGGTTAAAGACTGCAAATAATCATGAGTTTATCATTTTTGTCTTTTTACAGACAAGAAAAATTTTACTTCCTGCAGGTTTTAAGATCAGGACAATATTCAGATATGGTTATAATTTAAAGTAAAGAGCAGCCAGTAAAATGTGAATTTCTGAAAGAAAAAAAATATTTAATTCAAAACTCACTGAAATCCAGTCAGTTTTGACTTACAGTGACCATATGGGAAAGAGTAGAACTGTCTCTGTAGGTTTCTGAACCTGTAAACGTTTACAAGAGCAGAGAACCTCATTTCCCCCCACAGGACAGCTGGTGGTTTCAAATTACTCACTTTGTGAATATAAGCCCCACTTGTCAATGTCAAGTAAGCATTGGCCCTCTGACTGCAGAGTCACTGGTTAAAACCCACCAGCTGCTTCGTGGGTGGAAGGTGAGGTTATCTGCTCCCTGTAAAGATTTGCAGACTTTGAAGCTCTGTGAGTAAAATTGACTTCATTGCAGTGGGCATTTCAGTATCAGTTTATAGCATATAAGGAATCAAATATGACTTCAGATACACTTACACTAAAATAAATATATCATTGTTTATCTGAAATGTACATGTCTAGATAGTGTTTATTTTTATTTGCTGAATCTGGCAACTTTACATAGATATAAAACTAATTAACTAGTACATTTTATTACGTTGGTTTAGAAACTTCTATATGCTCACTTCAGTGAGATTTATGCACAGTGGAGTGAGGCATGTCAGACAGTCCTACCAAAGCAAACAATAACATGCTGCATCTGGGCCTTTTCACAACTATAGGGGAGGCCCCAAACCTGGTGGTTATCTTGTAGTTAAATTAGGTTCTGTGTATTCCATGTGTATAATTATCTTTGTAGAGTCACCATTTGCATTGTTGAAATAAGTTATTTGCTATGAAGAGATTATTA